TTTAGCATCCAATTTAAAGGGACGAGATCAACAGCGGCATTTACGCCACATCAAAGGAGTGTCGCATATGGGTTAGATATGTGACACTACATAAACTTTCGGACACCCCCCCCTCCCTCGGCTCGGACGTGAGGCGCGGGGTCACGGAGTCACGGGGCGGCTCGATCGAATGGATATAGTATGTTATCCTTAAGAGATAGACATATGTCATCGTGGACTTTCCTGTAGATCTATATAAGATAAACAATTCTACCATACATTATTTTGTTATATCTCAAAGGGTTTAGGCAGCGTTTTCGTTGAAAGCACCCAGACGGCTTATTTTTTCCGACACCTCCAACAAATATCGTTAATGTTTACAAAAACTTAACAAATTATATACTAAAACCTTCCTCGAGAACCACTCTATCCATTGGTGAAAACAGCATGAAAATCGTTGCAGTAGTTTTTCAGTTTATCGCGAACAGACAGACAGACAGACGCGGCGGAGGAATTTGTTTTATAATCAGCAAATCCGGTATTTTACATAAAAATATCTTTTTTGCAAAAACTACGCAACTTAGGTATAGGGAAAGCTATTAAAAAATTATAGGGTCTACAGAAAGGCATCTAATGAAATCATAAAACACAGGGTGTTCTATTTGAAAAAGTCGATATTTTTCAAATTTTAAATTATCAGGTTTGGCACGATTTTTTTTGCCACCCGTATATCGCAGGTCAACTTTTGATACGTTTTTTGAAAGAGCCATCTTCACTCTACAGTTCTTGAACCTGAAAAAAATAATTTCTAGCTGTCATACAGTCATAATTATGTCAACTACTAGAAGTGACGAAACATAAGAAAAAAATGGAAAGTCGATTATCTCGAAAACTATCAATATTTTAATAGGGATCATAAGACAATGTCTCGTTAATTTTTCACGTAGAATTCGATAATGCCATAAAAAGTATAGGTTTCCATTTAAAAAAATTAAGTAGGTACCTGCCCAGGAAAAACTGAACACCCTGTATATGCAAATATATTTGCATTTTGTGCAGCTCAGGAAAGTAGGCAACTCTTTAGAAAAAAAAATTAAATTATATCTTTTATTAACCTAGATATTGGACTTACGCGCACTAGGTGGACACGGTGTATAAAGTGTTATAGGTACGTAAGTCTTTAATAGTAATGGAGACATTGCCAAAATAATGTGCCAAAAAGCCCAAAATGTTATATGTAATACAAAAACTTGGTTGGCTAGAAACTAATAATTAACACATCAACACATTGAGATCATGATGACATCTCCGTTATTAGAGATGGGTCTGTTGAACTTATGTCACTGTAATTCACTAAAAAAGGCAAGTAGGGTTTATATCTTTGAAATTACTTTTGTTAAGTATTGTTTTGAAATCGCAAGAACATTAGCTAAAACTTTTTTTTTTCAAACGCAAATGTACCTAGTAGATAGAGTTACCTCATTTCTTGAATTACAGTGCAAATATTTAACTTGGAATAAATTCTGTATATCAAACACCTGGGTGTCCCAACCAAGAAATATTGATGATTTTTTTTAAATGGCAACCCTATAGTTTTTGGGCTTTTTTGAAGGACATGTAGAGTTGTACATTCCTACTAAATATAAAATATTTGTTCTTAATTGTTCCAAAAAAACAGCAAGTGAAAAATCAATCTTTTACCGTACTTGCAATTTAAAAAAATGAGGGTTACCTAATCAATTAATTTGGTTTTAAAATTTGTATTGTGGAAGGAACGTCGTTAAAATAACACTTGTAACAATGTTCATTGTAAGCTAGTATTTTCTTTTGGCAATGAACATTAGCATCTTTAAAACCATAGTTTAATTATTGCTGTACTAGTTCTTTGCAATTTTTATTAACTCTTTCCAAAACAATTTGAAATCGCTGAGTAAAGTTCATTTTTAAAATTTGCAAGAATGATAAAAGAATAATCTTCAACTTGCACTTCGGGAACAGTACAAATAAATAAGTATTTGAAATGAGGTGGTAACACCTAAGTTTACATGCCTTTCAAAAAAGCCTGCAAAAATCTAGAATGTTTTTTTCATAAAAAAGTGCACAACATATTACTAATCGATGTCTGAACAGTTTTTAAACAATTTTGTGATTGATACACAGACTTTGTTCCAAGATAGTGACTTGCAATGCTGCAACATTAATCTTTTATTTCATTATTCAAGCAAGACATTCTTCACCCACCTTAAAAAGAGATTTTAGCGAAAACCCCGAAACAAGGTCAACTTAATTTTGTCAATTTGTTTACATAAATAATATTTTTAAAATTTTTTGAGCAAATATGAATTTTTGTATACAGGGTGTCCCTCATAAGAACCGACACAGGACAGGTGCATGTAGGGGTGTCAAAAATATTGTAATTTAACCAAACTTACCTATATACAAAGTTGCACCCCTGAAGAGTTATTAGCCGCCAAAGTGGGGCCCCAAATTTCGAAAATAATTAATATCTGTGCAATACTTTACCGTAGAAGAACCAAATTTGGTACATGATTTAGGTTTATTACTGGGTCTTCTTTGACTATGATTTAAAGTTAATTGAAGCACTACAAGGTGTTCATTGAGGATGACTCGCTCCTAAAATTGTACCGAACTTTTTTTTCATTGACCGAATTGAAAAATAATAATATTAATTCACAGCAGAATTTAATTTTAAAAAACTTTATGGTTTTCAAGAAAAACCGTATATTAACTGAAACAAGATTTTAACAGTGTTTATTAGAAAGTAATCGAAAAGACAGTAGTATAGGCAATGAATTTATCTTTCAAACTTGTCAGATATAATCTAGGCTTGTCAATTACTAATAAAATTATTTTATTTCAACAATTGCCTCTGATTGTTGATGAAAAAATATGAATTATTATTTTTATTATTTATTTGTGTTCTTTACTTAATACAATATTCGCTTATTTAAACACTACCTAGGTACTTGTTTTTTTTTGCAGAATTAGGAAAGAAGTGAAGTAAAATTTATATGGCCAATTATCAAATTTGAAAGATAAAGCCTACTACTGACTTTTTGATTATTTTCTAATGAACACTGTTAAAATCTTGTGTCAGTTAATACGGTTTTGCTATGAATTAATATTACTATTTTTCAATTCGGTCAATGAAAAAAAAATTTGGTACAATTTTAGGGGGTGAGTCATCCCCAATGAACACCTTGTAGTGCTTCAATTAACATTAAATCATAGTCAAAGAAGACCAGTAAAGACCAGTAAATCATGTATCAAATTTGGTTCTTCTACTGTAAAGTGTTGCAGAGAAATTAATTTTTTTCTAAATTTGGGGCCCCACTTTGGGGGCTAATAACTCTCAGGGGTGCAACTTTGTATATAGGTAAGTTTGGTTAAATTACAATATTTTGGACACACCTATATGCACCTGCTCTGTGTCGGTCCTTATGCGGGTCACCCTGTATATAAAAAATGTTTAAAAAATTTATTTTTCTGAAATAAAAAATAAGGGTAGCAACCCCCAAACACGGAGGCACTTGTGAAACATTTATTTTTTATAAGGAGTAATTTACATTTTGTTTCATTCCAAAATATTGATTAGAATCCCAGATATTTAGAAAAAACTGTCTTGGGGGCGAACTTTGAGGGTGGATTTGACTCCCCTAAGTATATTTTTCCGGCGATAAAAAAAAGGTCTCTTAATTTTTTATATTTTACAGCATATATATAAATCTTGGAAATCGGAGTGTTCGCGTTGGGGTAGTTTTCTTGTAAATCCATGTATTTCCTTATAAACTTTTAAAAGCAGATGTACAAAGTCCAAATTTTACTATTTTTGAATTCTCCATAGCAGTGGCGGCTCTTGTCTTCTATACCAGGGAGGGCGGAAAAATTTAGATACAAAGTAATGAGAAAAATATCCGATATAATTGCGTAGTTTTATTTTAAGTACTATTGAAATATAGGGAAGATGTGCTCAACATTATTTTTTATAGTGAAAGTCCATTAAACTTTTTCAACTACTTTTTCATTAAAGTTCTGTATTTCTGGCACCATTGATTTTTCAATAGATAGCACTGTAAGTGCTGTTGGTTTGTCTTTGCAATCTAATTTAAACTTTTACAAACTTTTAAAAACACACAAGAAACAATACTTATGTAGGTAACAAAATTTTACGCCACATGTAAACAAATTATGTTTAATAAGAAAAAAAGCGGTGATTAACTATTATTTGTTTATGAGCAGACTAAACAGAGCCTAAACCGCAAAATATGTGCTGCTCCGACTCCATCTTTCACTGCTGCGCGACGGTAACCATGACCACCACTGTAAACATTTTACAGATTTAGGGGTTTTTCAAGTGGATTTTGCAAGTCGAGTTAAATTGGCTGTACATTGCAAATTTAACATTTCCTTTTTAATGTGTTTCATAAGGTTAATCTATGTAATTATTTAGATAACATAGCAAACTAAATTAAATTTTTTTACTATAAAAATTTCTAGGGAGGGCGACGTCCCAGAGCCCCCCCATACCAGCCACCACTGCTGCATAGAAGTCTTAAAAATTTTTAAATATTTCAGATTTCTGCACGTTATTCATTACCGAATTTCGACCTATCACATAAGATAACCGAGACCTTCATGGCTTGACAAACAGGCACCCGATATAGACTCTAGCCAATTTTAAACATAAAATTTCAAAATTAGTTATGGCTCCCCGACTGAAACTAAATGTAAAAACTGTTCTGTTAAAAAAATAAATTAGAATTTCCCGCCTATTTTAGTTTAAATAATTTTGTAGCTTTTGTCGAACTAAACAATATTTAGTCATTTTGGTGCATTTACTCTCAAAAATAGACCCAAAAGAACATTTTTGTGGGTTATTTTATGCGATAGTTAAAATCTTTGATCTTCAAGTTTCAAAACCTCCCAGCATATGGATTAAAAGTCGGTTCGAGTAACTAAGAAATATATATCATCATAACAAGAAATAAATATACAAGTAATAAAAGTAACACAAAATTTATGTAATAAATACAATGACAGTACCGTACAATATATAATTTGACAACTTAAAAATATGATAAATCAAATAAAAGCACACGATTAAGATTCATTTTCCGATTCCGAGTTATTGTATGAATCGGCATCCTCTATCGTTTCACCCAGCTCTCGTAGTCTACTTTTAAACGAGTTCAATTTCAAATCTTGATCTGTCAGTAGCTCCAGCAGATCGTCCTGGTCTTTCCTAATTTTTTCAAGTTCCAAATCCTTCTCTTCATTTTCCTTCTCCAATTGTTTGATTCTCTCCAATAAATCGCCAGTGTTGGTTTGCGATGCAGTTGAATTTTGTGCAGGAGTAGTGGTTCCATTACTGGTTCCACCCAGGGTAGCTAGTTGCGCTTTTAGAAGAGTGATTTGGTCCACGAGTTCATTGTTTCTTTGTACAAGTTCTGATGTCTGATTCTAAAAATAATAAATCAATGTACAAGGTCAGCCAATTTCAATGCTTTTGGAAGTTTTTTTTTCATATTTCCATAGAATTTTTGAGATAAATTATGCTACGAGAACTGTATCTTAATATTTTGATTAGTTTTTCTGTTTTTAGATATTGAATATTTTTTATAATTATTAAATTTATTATTTTTTGCTTACAAGCTAGTCAGTGATATTTTTCTTAACTTCTGTTTCATTTAGTAATAATGCAAAATTATTATTTCTTTAAAAGGGACACTGTATATTTTTTCGAATGTTGTATATAAACATTATTTATATACTTATATCTTTTGTTAAGATGAAAACACTAGTAATTATTTTTCATAATACAATAATTTAGTAAGATATGGATGTATTTAATGTATTTATGAATACAAAAATTCACATATATTTGAATGATAAAACAATTGAATTACAAAACAAAAATAATTTTTTTAATTTTATTATTTTTATAAATTTTATGCAAATTTCAGAAAATCGAAAAATATACTGAGTGAATCAGATTTAATATTGAACCAGATAGCGTACGATAGTTATATGAAAACAAATAGGATTTTTTTATCGAACATTTTTTTACAAATACTTCTACGAGATACGAGGTTTGATCAAAAAGTAAATCAATCATCGATCAAATTGCGTGTGTTGTATCTTGTCTAACGAGATAAATATTGTTTTGTATATTGGTAGCACTGTTAGTGACGTAGGCATCTATCAATGTTCAGGCAACTGCCATACTTTGTGTTTAGCGAGCGAGTGAGTAAGACTGATCTCATAATCAGTGTTTTTTGTGATTTTTTTTGTAGCCAAATTAACAATCCATTATTTTTTTTTATCAAACCTCGTATAACGTGACAACCCATGTGAAATTTGGAACAAAAATCTACTACTCCTTTATATTATCCAAACTTGGAATAATTTAATTTCTCTAAGCAACCATTCATGAAATACAAACAACCATATTAATTTAACAAAAAAGCAGTACTTCCCTGTACCAAGCAAAAATTATTCACTCTTTATTATGGATTTTTTAATTATATGTGAAAAATTTTTGTTCATATTCTTAGACATCAGTCACAATACCGTAGCCATAGATTTTTGTTTAATACTACTCCAAACTGGATAAAGAAGAAGGGATAAAGAAACCAAAAAAAGGTTTTCAAGATAATTTACTTTATGACAAAATCTAAAAAAAAAAAACTAAAACCACAGTACAGTATAATAAGACAACCAATATATCAAAAGGTGACATACCAAATTTAGTTAGATTATTTCTGTTACTTTGCAAAATAAAAAAAATATATATTTTTTTAAATTTTACTACTTCAGTCTGATATTAAATCTGATTCATCCAAGGTGACCCATTTCTTACAATATAAGTTTTGGTTATAAATGAAAAATCAGAAATGTGGTGCCGTACAAACAGTTTTGTTAATAACTTTATATGGATTTATATTTGAATTTAAAAATTTGTATTCGAATCATATGTCGTTGATATCACCGTGATTAGATTATGTTATTACAGAAAACTTTTGATGTAAGTAACACCTCTCTGTCTCTATAATAGTAAATAAAAAGACAGTGGTATGAGATTTTAGTTGAATTTCCCATTAACAGATGGCACAACTAAAGCATAGTCTAGTCTAACACATCACAACTATTCCCCAAATTTGATTCACTTTTATATTTTCTTAAATTGTCTGCTGAGTAATGATTTCATACAAAAATAAAAAAATACAGGTCAAGTTTTTTTCAATGGTAAAAAGTTTGAAAAACTCATTATAAACAAATATTTGAGTACAACACATGCAAAAAAAAGTATGTAAATAATACAGTCATGTCATCACAAAAATAATGTATAGAAAATATAATCAAAATTCGTCTGAATCTCTAAAAACAAAACAATATATTGAAATGCATAATTTGCAGTTTAATTATTCTTGAAAATGGAGCTAGAGGCAACTTAATCACTTTTCGCCTATCCCTTCGAAAAATATGAGAAATTACCCAAAAATATTGAAATTGGCATAAAAGTTAACAGATTCTTTCAATTTTTAGATTCATTGAAAATATTATATATTTTCTTATCAAAATCACTTATTAGTGGAATCTTCAGTGTAATCTAACGTTGAAAAACATTTGAATATTACTTCGCTTTATTTTTCTTTTAAATTAAAAACAATATAATTTAAAATTAATTATTTGCTTACCTCTAGCTGTTCTTTTTCCCTTTGCACATTATTAAAATTACGCTGAAGATCCTGCAGCTTTTTATCCTGGTCCCTTATAAGTTCTTTATATTGTAACAACAAAGCGTTCTCATGCACGCTTAAACTCAATTCTGAGATGCCATTTGACAAATCTCTTTGCACTCCTAGAGCTTGAATAATAACCCCCTCTAATGCCTTGAATAATTTGCAAAACTCAAATTCTAATAAGAGTTCACTGGAATGTTTGGCCTTGATTTGAGGTTGCTTCGCTGCTTTTGCATACACTTCATGTCTCGATATTTCCCCTAGTTTGTTGCAGTACGTTTCTATGCCTACACGTTTCTCTATAAGTTGGGAAAGATTTTCTTTTGAATAATTCTGCACAGAGTTGTCATTAAATGCTACGCATAGTCCCATGATAAATGCACAAAGACTCTGAAATAAAACATTTTTCTGTCAAAATAAGTGGATTGAAAATTGAGTCGAAACATTATTCCAGTTTTCAAACTGCTTTAAATGTTTTCCTAGGCTAAGTTTTCTTGTACTTAAGTAGTAAATGTTCCAACGGCTACTTTTTTAAAATTCATTACGAATGTAGATGTAAAAGTTTCTAAATTTTATAAAGAATATAGCACTAACTGAAAAAGAACTATAACTAAAGTGAGAGAATAATTAAAATGTAATAATTTAACAATTTAATTTTATCGAGTGATGGTATATACAAGGTGTTCTTGAAAAGGATGGACAACGTTTGACCACAGGTTCCTTGGATGAAAACAAGACTATTTAGCCTAACTTACAAACAAACATACAAAAGTGCATGCCTACTGAGATATAGCTTTCTAAATATAGAATAGATAACCTAGTTTTTTTCAAATAATGTGAAAACTGTTTTTCTTAGAAACTTTAAATTTGGTACTCATATTTTTTTATATAAGGGCAATGTAAATATAGAATTTGGTGAGAATACATATACAGGATGTTCTCTTTCTAGTGCCTGTCCGCCACTGGCTATCCCGTAACTTTTTTGTATGTACGCCAATGACGACAGAATTAATATTTTTAAAAATAAGAACTATTTTAGAAGATTTTTTGCCACTTACAAAATTTTGATATAGTTTATGGATTTCAAGTAAAATTGGCATTTTTTACACATTAAATAATATAAAATCAGTTTAAGATAAATAGAACATTTTAGTACGAGGTGCCATATAACAGAGAAACAAATTCATAACAATAATTAAAAGGTTGTGATTTAATTTTAGCTTACTTTGTTTTTTATTGCAATTTATACTTTTGCTGAACAAACTGATATGTTATTAGTCTTGGGTTATTGTGAAGGAAATTGTTGTGCTACTGTTCGAACATATGCTGAAAGATTTCCTAATCGAAGAACTCCAAATCACAAAACATTTGCTAATGCAAAGAGACGCCTTCGGGAAACAGGACGTTTTTGACCTGTAACATTAAATCGTGGATAATGTACGGCCGGAATTATTCAGCTGGAGGAACACATTTTGGAAAGGGTCGAAGAAATTCCTCAAGTAAATAAAAGGCGTTTAGCGGCAGAGGTTGGCTTTCAAAAAGTTCCTTTAATAGAGTATTAAAAGACCAGTTATTACAGGTTAAAGGTATTACAGGGTACAGGTAGGTATTACAGGTTATTAAAGGTCTAACAGGTGGATAGGTAGAGGAAATAATGCCCCTTTAAAATAGCCACCTCGATCCCCGGACCTAAACCCATGTAATTATTTCATTTGGGGAGCGTTGAGGACCACAGTTTAAAATAACTTTTCAATAAATACAGAAAACGAATATGGGAAAGAATACAACATCAAATTAATGTTATGAGAGGTAATGCACAATTATTGGATAATTTCTAATTTTCGAAGAATTAATATTGCGTTTAAGAACAAGAAAGTAACTTTGAGCATTTACTGTAACATTATTTTAACATGATTACAAATATCAGTTTATTAAAAATGTTAATGTTGACTTTCTTACATTATTAGTTGATATTGTTTATTTAAAATATTGGTGTTGACTTTTATTTTATTGATTGATAATAATAATAATAATAATAATACCAAAAATGTGTAGTTATTTTTTTAATGTGACGTGTTTTCATTATTATTCCCTGCTTTGAGGCTGCAGTTATAAATTATTTTTTATAAATCAGAATTTTTGCCTATATTTAATGTATAAAAAATGTGAATCTTACTCGAAATCCATAAACGATATCGAAATTTTGTTAAGAGCAAAAAATCTTCTAAAATAGTGCTTATTTTAAAAAATATAAATTATGTCGTCATTGGCGTACACACAAAAAAGTTACGGGATAGCCAGTGGCGCACAGGCACTAGAAATAGAACATCTTGAATATTCTCCAAATATATTCTCTCCAAATTCTATATTTACCTTGCCCTTATATAAAAAAATAAGTGTACCAAATTTGACGTTTCTAAGAAAAATAGTTTTCAAATTATTTGAAAAAAATAGGTTATCTATTCTATATTTAGAAGGTTATATCTCAGGAGGCATGCACTTTTGAATATAGGTATAGGTAAGTTAGGCTAAATAGTCTTATTTTGTATGTCTGTATGTCATTTCAGGCTTGTTGCTTGTCAGTACCTCGACAATACCTTTCTTAATCGCTGGATTGGACGCGCAGGTCCCCAAACTTGGTCAGCTCGTATATAAATCCTTGTGATTTTTAAGTATGGGGTCACCTCAAGTCTCTTGTGTATAAGACACCTGTACTAAATGAAAACGAGTTACGAAAGTGAATAATTCAAAGTTCTGATGTCATACAAAATTCTCCAGGAATTTTTTAACGAGCGAGACAATCAATGATAATACGATTGGAATCATGCGTTTTAGCAGAAGGTGGCCATTTTCAATATCTGCTTTGATTTTGTGTCGAAACTGATTATTTCTATCGTTGTTGTTTATAGTTGCCAGCACTTTTTCTAAGAATAGATTAGTATTAAGAAAAAAATTCAAGACACCTTTTTTGTTGTAAAATGACGAGGAGTCTTAGTTTATGAGGTGAACCATATTTAGAATATTAGTCTAATTTCTGGACTATAAATGAATATCTTCCTTCACAGGATCAATTTCGGACTAGTCAGGATGAGATTAAAGCTCGGATTAAAGCATTGGATTGCAAGAACAGATTCAATTTGATTATCCGAAAATCAAACTTAAGTAATAGTTCTATTTCTGAAAATAATGACATCTTTAGTAATGTAGTAGCTGGATTTATGCAAGTGTAATTATAAAGTAAGGCAAAAAAGGATATCTGGAATTTGGAAGTCCCCATTTAACCCTATAGAAATACCATATTTAAAATATTGTTTACTACGACACCGTTTACAACGACATTTCGGATTTAGCGACGCGTTTTTATATACATTCACCATAGAATCTGTCCGTTATAACGACCAATAGTGATATATGGCCTTAAAACCAATGCACTGCCCTTCCGCCCGCCCTGCTGACATCCACGCTTTTGACACCAGTTAGTATGTTTGGGACAAATTACGACTTATCTATGCATACAGTTATATTATATGAATTAATTACCACTTTCTATCACGATGTCGAAGAAAAAAGTGTTTAATAAAGAAGAAAAATCACATACAATATAGAGATTAAAAAACAGAGAAACTAATGCAAGCAAGCAAAAGAATGTAGCGTGTCACACTACGATTTCAACAATTTGGAAGGATAGAAATAAAGTAGTCTCTATTCGTAAACAATTCATTGAAAATGAAGCATGCAAAATGTTTTGAACACAAATATGTACCGGGTGGCCAACTAAGAACGTCCACCGGTCATATTTTAGAAACGAATCATCGCACAACTTTAGGCAAAAAAATTACATTGAGGAAAGTGGCCCTGAAAAATTGTTGGAAAATATTTGCTCTAAAATGGCCACTAGGTAAGCTAACAGCCACGTCTAAATATAAAATTGGGATTTTCTCCATATTTTACTGAATTAACGGGTACTGAAAATATATGCAGTGTAATCCTTAAATAATGTCGACTCTTTATTGTCCAACACTTTTTGTTCTATCTCCAACAATAAAGTGGTGGGACGACTACAAATCAATTTTTTTTAAATGCCGCTTACTCCAGTTAGGCCTAATGGAATTTAAAAAATTTGGCCTCGCTGCAAAGAGCTTTCTTTAATCTATATCGACTGCATTTTAAGCTATTTTTATTTAAAGATTATCGTCGCTGCTAGGGAGCGTTATATGACATGTTTACAAATTTCACAACTTTTCTTAGAAAAATCAAATGGAATGGTATATTCGATTTTGCACTATGAAATGGAGATTTAAGGCCTAAGACAGCGGTCGGCAACTGGCGGACTACGGTGCAGATCCGGACCGCGGAAGGTAAATAACTGGACCTCCAAAAATTTTTTGAAAATATAATTACTCAAATTATTTAAAAATATTTTTTTCTGTAGATAACAAAACGTTTGAGTGCTACCCTCATCATTTTTTAATGGTTAGTACGTCAGTAAAAAAACTGGCTCAAGACCGCAAATGTAATTTCTTCCATTGATTTTTGAATACAAATATGCCTATCTATTGTATTTCATATTATTTTGCGAGTGCAAATTAAAATAAAAAATTAGTAAGGAATATGAGTTTTTTCTGGACCTCATTAAAAATTTTAAAAAGTATCTGGACTCTACCTAAAATTACTTGCCGACCCCTGGCCTAAGACATCAGTGAAAACCGCAACTCAATATCTTTCTTCTAAGGGTAGACACAAAGTTTAAATTACGAATAATTATTACATTTGACTACGAAATTGATAAAGTGGCCGTTGAAAACAAATAGGCTGCGACATTGAGACAATGCAAAAATAATATAAAAAAATATTCAGATTGTCATGGTTGTTATTGTGTTTTCCTCCTTTCTAACTGAATTTGTGTTTCGGATTTTAAATTAATTCCTAAAATTAAAATGATTCTTGCAAATGAAAAAGCATTTGACATGTTAGCAATTCTTCGACTGCATGACAAATGCAACTGTTACTGCTAGGGTTTATGCGGTACAATATCCTGAAAGACTTCATCATACTAGAAGAGGAAAATCCACAATGGATAAAAGAAGTGCAACAGGTTGCTGGTCTGTAAATGTATGGTATGGAACTCCTTGTAGACAAATAATTGGACCTTTTGTTGTTAATGAAAGCCATAATGGAGAACGTTATCTAAATTTAAGAAATGAATCTTTCCAACAGACTGCTGCCCTTCGCATTTCTCTGCATACGTTTAGGAATTTTTCGAACAAACAAATCCTGGCAGGTGGATGGGGCGTGGAAGTTTATTCTCTTGGTCACCCAGGTGTCCAGATCTGACTTGTTTAGATTTTTATTTATGAGGTGGAATAAAAAAGCTTGTGTTTTCTACCAGAGATGAAAGAATAGGAAATATTTCAGTGGACTTCTGTTCTATCCACTCGGCAGAGAGTGATTTCTTGTATTGAAAATGATGGACAGTATTTTGAGCATCTAGATTCTAGATTATCCATTCAGGGTCTAATATATTGTATTTTTACGTTTTTTTCAATAAACCCTGTTGTTATTACTATTAGATTCGTTCTAATTATTATTATTCATTTTTAATTATTATATTTTATAAGATATTATAGTTTCTTTGGTAGCTTCAGAATCGTATCTGTCTATAAGTGGTAAGCAACTCATATTACGTCAGCAGGATGCGTAAATTCATAATTTAAACTTTATGTGCTAATATCTACCCTTAGACAAAAGATATCCAGTTACGGTTTTCACTGACGTCTTAGGCTTTCAATATTCTATTTCATCATGTAAAAACAAACATACCATTCCATTTGATTTTTCTAAAGAAAAATTGTGAAATTTGTAAGCATGTCATATAACACTCCCTAGCGGCGATGGTAATCTTTAAATAAAAATAGCTTAAAATGCAGACGATAGATTAAAGAAAGCTCTTTGCAACGAGGCCAAATTTGTTAAATTCCATTAGGGCTAACTGAAGTAATCGGCATTTAAAAAAAAAATAAAAAAATTGTTTTGAAGTCTCCCCACCACTTTATTGTTGGAGATAGAGCAAAAAATGCTAAACAAAAAAGAGTCAACATTGTTTAAGGATTACACTGCATATATTTTCAATACCCCTTAATTCAGTATAATATGGAGAAAATCCCAATTTTCTATTTACTCGTGGCGGTTACGTCATCTATCAGACATTTTAGAAACTAGCAAAGATTTTCCAGCAATTTTTCAGGGCCACTTTCCTCAATGTAATTTTTTTTCTAAATCTGTGCGATGATTTGTTTCTGAGATATGGCCGGCAGCCATTCTTAGTTGGCCACCCGGTACATACTTAAAGACTTGTATTTTAAATTTTTAATTTTTTCCATAAAAATTTTAAATAAAATATATGTAATTGCTTATTACGTCTATCGGTGATAACAACAGTAAACAAACGGTCCCTTGAAGGTTGTAATAACATTTTAACTGTAGTAACAAAAATAAAGAAAAAATATATAAGCACTTCTTAAAAAAAAATAGCAGTAGGAACGCTGTTCTTATCTTAAATTAACTATGACAAAATTACCATTTGAGAACCAACCTGTAACAATTCCTCGTTATTATCATATTCACTTGCAGACGTCTGTGCCGTCAAAAATGCCATTGCTCCAGGTACATTTAAAAAAATTTTGACCGCCTGAGGACAATGTGCCATCCAGTTTGCTAGTAACATTAAAATACCTAATTTCGCTTGTAGCTTACTGGTATGCTGCAGAAACACTGCACACTGATGAAGTAAACTAACGGGTTGTGCTCCTAAATTAGTGGCCAACAGGACTCTAAGCAACTGCTCTTTTTGTGCAGGATTCTCTATAAGACAATGTGATAGAGCTACAGCTGAAAACCAGTTACTTAAATGATCGTTACTAAACAAACCACTACACAATAATTGTCCGGTAGTGACGGCAGCATTGCCTGCGTTACTGGGGAGTAGAGTTTGAACCACAAGTTCTTGTCCGATTTCATTTTTAAATAAGAAACATTCAAAACAATATAACACTGCACAACGCAGGGCGAATGGTTGTTTTTCGTTGACCATCGACATTAAAAGTACAACTATGGCTGGTCTAGGTGGATTCGAGGGAGCTAAAACACCTGCAAAATACTCTTGATTCGTTAAATTACCCCTGATGACTTCTCCAACAGTGTTTATTGTTTCCGTTAATATATCTGCAGGCACACCACTTGCCATTAAAATATTACTTAGCGCTTCTAACAGATTAGCATTCCTCATTGCTTTTTGGCATGCAGTTATAATTTGTACGGGATTATTTGGAGACACTAGAGTTCTTATCAGCTGTAGGACACAGTGGAAATTTGATACTTTTTGAGGGCTCCAGCCTATCTCTTCTAAATTGGGAGGTAAAATAAACATAGGAGATAGTTTTTGGATATAAGAACCCTCCTTAAAGAAATTTATATTACTTGTGTTGTTCTTCAACAGATTTAGCATAAGCAACAAACAATCTTCTACAACTATACCACCGTCTGTCCAACCTTCTTCGCTAATAACGTCAAAGAGTCTATCAAAAGCATTTTCAAACGCTACTATTTTCTGAATGTTAGCATTCGATTTGGTCAGATTGATAAGTAGTAGCAATGCATCATTTCGTATGACTTCTCGATTTTCTAATAATAAATCCATTAGTTTAGAAACACCCATAGGGCTTACCAAAATTATGTCTTGTATTTCTTTCGGCTTAGAAGCTATGATAGACGTAAGCAACTTAACCGCTGGCCACCGTACTCTGAAATCATAATCTTCTAAGAATCCTAATACTAAGCTTACATTTTCTGGATTTTTTAAAAACATTTCTGTAAACTGCTCCCCCACGTTTACTTTCATATTAATGTTGTTTTCATTTTCCTCCTCAAAAACTTCCTTAGATGTTATGTTACACAAAGTATCTAAACAGTAACCGATTATTTCACAGTCGCTTCGGTCTAACTCCAACACTTGTCTTAAAACGTCCATTCCTTGCGCTCCCACTTCTAACCTGTATTTTTTTGAAAGAGCTTTAAGTGCTCTGCAAGCATCTCTTCTATCTTCTAAAAGAGTAGATGTACTAACTCTACTAACTAGTCTTTCTACCTAAAATTTTAAGGTTATGTGTTTACTGACAGATGTTCGTGAATCAAATGAAAGTACTTACTGTTTCGGCCCCCGTAGGTTGACTTCCAGGAGGAGGGGCCCCTAGGACTGATTTTAAACCACTTCGAAAGTATTCCATTATTATTTTCTTTAATTTATTGATTTAACTTTCAATTCATATTTCTTAGATTGATAAACATAAACGATACACGTCAGAAATATGACAACTCAACTCATATGAATGTAGATAGGTCCGGAATTCAGGTGCCTCCACTGCACGATCTGCGGTTCTGCATACGTTGAAATTTAGCAGAGGAAGAAGAAATAATAGATTAGTTCGTCTATCTACCACTAGGTGTCGACACTAAAGAAATTAAAGAGGGCCAGTTCAACAATTTACGATTTTATATCAAAATCAAGATGCGTTCTGATTAACAATTACTATAGGTGCATTACTTCAGGCCATTTAATTTACTTTAGGGTCCGTAGCCGATCCAACCCAGTCATTATAATATTTGCGTCATTAGACTCTAAATCTCAGTATACAATTATTTTTTAATAAGCAGGTACCAAAAGAATTGGCATTGGCCCCTAGTTTAGATAAGTTAATTTAGATAATTTAAGAAAGATAGATTAACGTTACTTTACAGATTATTATCTGTAAAATTTTATAACTGTTTGCTAATTGCTAAAAATTTCATGAATGTTTACTATATGTATATACATGTCTATATTATATTTTCACTAATTCACAAGTGAGAGGTTCAAAATCCGTTGATTTATGAAATAGGTAGGTAAGACGTAAATAATTTGAAAACAAATTTCTTCTTTATAAAAAATATTTTTATTTGGCATTAAAAACAAAAATATAGGGTACTGTACCTATATGCTTTGTGCTCCTTGTGGCAATTATTTTTGTAAAAGAGATCCCTCTTCATTTTCTTCCAAACAGGCACAGTTCCAAATTTCAAGATTTATGTCAAATTAATTCAAGAATTATTTGCTAAAATGTATAGCAAGTGAGAAATATGGTTAAAACTTAATATACCATAAGCCCATTGTATTAGAAAAACCTTTAGCTCGTATTGGATTTTTTGTCCATATCTTTTTTTAGAAATATAAAGCGTTATGTACAAAATGTACGGTTTTGTCTACATATTTGTTTTTTTTTGCTACCTGTGACAAAACAAATAAATAAAAAGTTAATCAAATAAATTCTTGCCCCAAAAGGATTATTAATGAAGTGGTTTATTTTAACTACAAATTTTTACATAACTAAGGGAAATTTAAGAAAATCACTCTTTTGGTGGATAGTATGGCACAACTGTTATTAATTTTTGCAATGATTGTCTAAGTAGAATTCTACAAATCCAGTGATTCTCCGTCAGAGGCTGCCACGGTGTTTTCGATTATTGAATAAGGAATAGTAATGGTAACACAATGTCGTAATATACAAACATTCACTATAATGTTTCCAATCGGGACCGCGAAGCCGTCAAAAGTCGTTATATACAGGGTCCTTCGCGGCCAGAGCTGAGAACTACGTTCAGAAGGACGCAAACTACCAGACACGAGACGCAGACAGCGGTGCGTGTGAATTGGAATTTTTACCTCAGATACCAAAGTTTCCCCAAAAACGCTCCAAGCAGTCCCAAACCACTCCATCCACAGCAGTCAACACCGCCAGATGTCGATGCTGTCAACGGAGACACCGAGGATGACTCACTGCGTGAACTACCAAAATTCAACGACCTTTCCAAAGATTACGTCGTCGCTCCTAAAAACAGCTCTAAATCACCCTGACGTAGCAGTTGACATCGCTAGATGCTGTTGGAGTAGCAACAAATGCCATCTACGAGATTTAAAGGAAGAAAGTTCGGATTTCGGAGACCAAAAGTTAACCGAAATCGACGAAGAAGCCCATGAGACCACATATAAGGCGACGGTTAATCCCACTGGCCAGAAATAATATGGACGGTGAAATCCAAAACCGATAATGGTGCCACACTAAATCGGACCACCAAGCAGAAACACCCGCGGGGTTGCCGTAGCTTGTGTACGACCCTCAACCTCATTTAGCCACAGAATAGTAACATTTCGGAACCTGGCCAGTTTGGGAACACGATCAAAGTTTTATATACGTATTTGTTGTACATGTACTTACATACCATTATTACCATTTATTGCTATTATAAGCATGAGATAATAATGAATAAATCCAAATATTTCAAAAAATAGTTATACTCTCTCTAAAAAATAACCACATGAGCTCAGAGCTCTCATAGCTTCTCAATCTACCTGCCTAGGTCCTTCCTATCTACGACGAATACTGTCAAAGGGTACCCATCTCTTAAGCTGCTATAGACAATAGCTCTAAAGCTACCATACACTAACCCTCCCAGGAGGTGCAGTGAAGAAAGTACCTCAAGCTCCAAGGTGCTTTACCGAGGCATACAACTTTAGTTCCTAGTCACCACTTAAAGACACAAGAGTAGCCGACTTGCAGTGCTTCTAGTAAATTCAGTGCAAAACAGTTTAAGGGTCAGTTAAAACCCATAAAACAATCGAACTAAAAGCAAGTGAAGTGCATCAGTATGTACTGGACCTAAAATAGAGCAGTAACCAATTATCCTGAAGCAGTTCTCATTCACTCCTGACTTCCCTTGTGGTTAGCGTCAAGGAGGAGACGCCCGAGCTATCTGGATGTCCAACATCCCAGCACCGCAGGTAAAAATGGAATCAGATCAAGTCTTTCCATCCTCACTATACAAATGCTTAGGGGTAATGATGATAGGTCAAATCCACCGCTAGCTAGACGAACTAAACGAAATCCGAAATCCATTGCTTGGCGCTTCTCAAAGAGGGGCGTTAACTTTAGAACAATCCACGGTCAATATTTCACGGCAATAGGCATTTATGCCTAAAATAAACAATTTAGAAAAATATAAAAATTATATTTACCAACTATCTAATATCTAACCCTTACCTTTGGTCCTTTACTAGCTCTAACTAAAACGAAAGTATATTTATTGCAACTCTGATTATTCTAATATACAGGGTGGCCCCGAGGTAATGGGCCAAAATTCATGGATAGATTCCCGAAGCAAAAATATTGCGATTTAGCCGAACTTACCTTAGTCCAAAAGTTGATAGTTAAAGAGATACAGGGTGTTAAGTGTAAGATATTATTTTAGCTTCTTTTCATTTATTTCGGGCGCCATATTCTTGAAATAGTATTTTCCACAAAGACAAATAATTTCAAACATTTAATAACTGAATAATCTAAAGCTTATCAAATAATAGGAATGTTATGTCATGCCATCTGGGTATTTTCAAAGACGCCGCAGTAAAACGAATAAACGGGTGCAAAACACGATCAAACCAACAAGGTTTTAGGTACTGCAATCTACGAAAATACTCCACATATAACTCCACATGTAAATATTCTTATAACATATACTTGCTTAGTCCTACATATAAAATTATTTACTTTTATTTATGAGTACGTGAAAATAATTCTTAAAATATGGGGTCAGGATAACCGCAAACGCATGATTAACAATCGCTTTTTTAGCTATTATTTTATTTGAGTAAATTTAAATAGTAACAATGAATAAACAGAACATCAAGGATTTTATTTTTGTGCTTACTTTTGTTCTACATGTTTTACTTTTCAAGATTTCAGTACCTAAAAACGCCAGAAATTTGACTATTTCTCGGCCAGGGATATGGACACCTTAATAAATGCAAATATCTACACAAAATTTTGGGGTTTGGGTTTTTTGGGTAGAGGAATTGAAATTTGTTCACATTTTGGTTATACTTCATAGAGGGCGCCAGCTGCCGTAGATTGAATGTGTTGATAACGACATAACTTTTTTGTACTTTAAGGTATCTCATCTTTGGTATCAAATTCTTATTTTCCAATTTTTTTTACACAAAAAATGTAAACTTTATGAAAGTAGCTGTCTCGCACCGTTTCCGAGATATTTGGCTTTGCAACTTTCAATGCTAGTAGTTGAAATAATTAAAACAATTTAGAAATGTCAAAAACAAGGGTTTATTTAGAATTAAAAATTGTAATAAACAGTAAAATAGTGAATATTATTAAAAAAATATGCCTTTTTGACAATAATTGCTCAAAATTCTAATTTCAATACATTTATCAGCGCGCTTATTAAAAGATTGTCTTATTTTAAAGTATAAAGCCTTAACGCGAAATGACTTTGCAGCATTTAAAACCTGCTGTTAAAGTTCTTCTCAGGTGTTTATAGTTTCTTCATAGACAACTGATTTCATGTAACTCCAAAAACGCAAATCTTGGCATTATATCTCATATTTATGTATACGAGTATACAATTTAAATTGTGAGCTAAGATGTAATTTTAATTAGGTAGGAATAATACTTAATAGAAATTAGCGTATAAATGACAGCAATAAGACAAGTGGAACACTTATTTGATTTTCGTCCAAATCCTACTTGAGAAACTTTACCGGTAAATTAATAATACCTGTAAGTACTTAATAGGGTTGTTGACCAAATTTCAAAAAGTAGACAATATAATTTTACACGTACTAATTAGTGTGTATGCACAATTAGAGATTGGAAATGCGTTGGAACAGTTTTAAAATAATTATTTAAAACTGATTTTTTTATAATATTTCAAAACGGCTGTGACGTCATAAGGTACCTTGTAGTGAAATTATGTGTATATGATTGCGTACAGGAAAAAAATTGGAGGAAGAAGATGCTCTGTCAGCACTGTCAGTAGTGTCAGTCTGTCAGTGACATTGTCGCATAAAATATTTTCAAGTCTGCAAGTTATTTTCCTTAATCTTCGAATTCCTTTATTAAGTAAAATTATTATTTAGTAATAATCATTACTACTACTACTTTCCTCCCCTTAGAATTAAAGCAGAATGTGTGAAACGGAATTTGTGAAAGCTACTTATTTTACCGAAAATTTATATTTTTATGATCATGAATTGAATTTTTAAAAAGAGACGACCGTTTTAATATTGGCGAAATCAGAGGTATAAAAGCATTCAGGTAAGGATTAACATATTTTATGAATGATTTTATTGTGTTTATTTATAATATAAATAATAAATATAAATAGCTATTTATTTACGGAAAATTATAGTGCAGTTCGGGAGTCTTTTGGAGATAATGCAATTGGGTATGTGGAATGTGGAATGTGGAACAAAACACCACTTA